GGGGGGTCACGGAGGCGGTGGTTGGTGATGGGTGGTGGCGGTGGCCCTGGTGGGTGATGGTGGTGACCTTGGCGGGCGGTAAGTGGTGGTGGGTGGTAAGTGGTGGTGGGCGGTGGCGGCTGGGATCCCAGAGTGTTGGGATGTCAGTGGTTCTGGAGAGCGAGCGGGTCTCCTAGAGTGGAAACACCCCGAGGAAGTCTGAGGACTGGGCTTCCAGGGCCGCCCGGGCGGGGGCTGGGCGTCCCAGGGAAGCGGAGGGGCGCGGCCCGACAATGCTCTCCACCCCTTCCCTGCCCCGGCAGCCTTCCCTGCGGAAGCCCCGGAAAAGAAGCCAGAACATTCCCGTGCAGCAGGCCTGGGGCCCCCCCGCCACGGGCCCGGCCAGGGGCAGCTCTGCGGAGACGGTGCGTGAGGCGTATGCCCGCTGTGGTGGGCACCGTGGGCCCCGTGCGACTGCCCGCCTCTCCGGAGCGGCCGGGCAGAGGGTCTGATCAGCGCCTCTCTCCCCCCAGGCGTCGGACAGCACCTCCCTCCCAGAGGAGTACTTCACCCCAGCTCCCTCCCCGGGCGAGCAGAGCTCAGGTGAGGCCTGGGCAGGGCGGGGGTGTGACTCAGGTGGAGCACATGGGACCCTGTCTTGGGGTCGGGGACCGCCCGCTTTTGCGGGCCTGAGCACAGGTACCCACACCCCTCTGAGTCATGGCTGACAGATTTGCTCACGTGATCACTGGAGCTTTCTGTGACATGTTGATTGCATTTAGAAATTCTTCTGTGTGTATGTTCTCAGTCTTGTCTTTCTTTTTGGTAATAATTAAGGCTCTTTTTGTTTTTATTTTTCTGTGAGCTGGAGTCACTCTGTCATCCAGGCTGGGGTGCCGTGATGTGATCACAGCTCACCACAGCCTCAGACTCCTAGGCTTAAGCGAGCCTCCCACCTTAGTCTCCCGAGTAGCTGGAACTACAGGCATGCGCCACCACACCTGGCTAAATTTTGGGGGAGGCAGAGTCTGACTGTATTGCCCAGGCTGGTCTTGAACCCCTGGGCTCAAGCAATCTTCCTGCCTTCCCCTCCCAAAGTGCTGGGATTGCAGGCATGAGCCACCATGCCCAGCGTAATTAAGTAATAATCGTTTGACTTGAAGTGTATTCTAAAATACAGTTGTTCAGTCTTTATAGTTTATCCCTTGCCTGTTTTCAAAGCATGCGGGCAAACAGTAAAAATGAACCCTGCTTGGAGACGTGGCTAGACCAAAACCCGACCGTTGTGGCCACCAAGAATGGGACCCTTGCCTCGGGAGTTCTTAGGAAAGAAGGATCCTGGGTCCACATCAGCCGGGAGAAGGAAGAGGCCAGGGTCTTGGGGGAGGCCCTCCTTCGTGGGGACTAGTTTGGAAAGGAGTCTGCGGAGTGGCATCCCTGAGCCAGTGGCTCCCTGCCCGGGCCACACGCTGGAATCTTGGCACCTCAGCCAGCCTGTGGCACTGTGGCCCGTGGGCCCGGGGCCTGGGCGTGATACTTCCAGAAATGTCCCCTGGTGAGTCCAGTGTGCCTGGGTGAGGACCATCTGTGTGCAGGTGTAGGTTAGCACAGTGGTTCCCTGGCTGCGTATTGACTTTCCTGGGATCTTTAAAAACCCAGAAGCCGGGCCTGTCCTGAGAGGTTCCGACTTGGTCTGTGCACCGTGGCCTGGGCTGCAGGGTGTTTAGAAGTCCCACGTGATTTCCACGTGCAGCCAAGGTGAAATGTAGAGGTTCGATGTTCTTGACTTTGGGCCCTGGCCTGGCGCAGAGCCCTGCCGCCCTGAGGCCAGCGCCCCCCTGCCGTGTGCACGCGCCTCCCCGGGGAGAGTTCCTGGCTGCCTAGGGTGAGCCTGTGCCTGCTGAGCAGCACCGTTCTGGGGAGCTCCGAGGGCTCTCACCCCGCTCCCTGCCCTGCTCCCTGCCCCCTTCCTCGCAATCCCCCCTCTCTGGTTGTCCTCATGCCTCTGAGCTGTTCCACCAGACGCAGAGCTCACTCTCATACACGGCTGGAGCTGCACTTGTCCGCTTGTAAATCGGGTGTTTGAAACAGGAATGTGTTTCCCCAGAGAAACGTGACGTAGGGTAGGGTCATTTGCAGTGAAACACACGAGGTAGCAGCGTCGTTGCAAGCATGGAACAGAGATGTGGCGGTTTGGTGGGTGGTTGTGAGCCAGCTAGGAAGGAGACCTCCCTCACGTCTCAGCACATGGTAGTTGCTCAGGAAAGGCTGCTGATTGAATAAATGAGTGAGGAATAAATATTGACTGTGTGTGACTCCTGGTGGGGGTGAAGGACTGGATGGAGGGGGCAGAAACAAGGAGAGGATTAGGAGCCCAGCGAGGGGGGACTGGGAACAAGCCCTATTACCAAGTGCGCCAGCGGCTGCTCTGCGGGGGGTGTCTCCGCCACCCCAGTGACTTCACTCTGGTAGGCCGCTCACTTGCGCAGGCTGGCACGCGAGAGGACGAGGGGGCGCCCGCACACCCACGCCTGCCCCTGCCAGGGGGGCCCACACACGGCACTCGGCCTGATCTTGGCGCCCATCCCTGCAGGCAGCACCGTCTGGCTGGAGGGGGGCACGCCACCCACCGAAGCCCTGCAGGTGAGTCTCCCGGGTCCCGGCACCCCTGGCCCCAGACTCAGCGAGCACCGGGGCCCCTAGGTGTCACCTCCATGGTGTCCCCACGGGCCCGTTCCTGGGGCCTCAGCTCGGCCCAGAGGCGGGACGGAGCAGAGGGGGACCTCACTCCTCCCCCTCCCCAAGCTCCTCAGCTGAGAATCCCCCCTCCCCACTGTTCTCGGGAGTGAAAGTCCGACGTGATGGTTTGTGTTTCCTTAAAATAAGAATGTAAATGTATGCGTTGTAGAAAGATCGGACAACAGAAGAGTATAAAGTGTGGAGAAGGAATAATTCACACACACACACACACACACCCGTCCTCAGGGTAAGTCTCACACACACACACACACACACACACATCCTCAGGGTGAGCGTCTCTGGGTGTTTCCTTCCGGTCTTTTTTCCAGTGGTTTTGTGCACACACATAGACCATATGCATAGGTGTGTTTTTTCTTTTGTGAAATTTGGGTCCCAGCACACTTGATTATGCTTGTTTATTTAGGCATTTTCCACCTCCCAAGCGCTCTCCAAGGGTACCACTGTAACAGGAGTTCGAGAGGCCACCCCGGGCAGGTGTCATGATTTTTTAGCAAATCCTCAGAACAGCCAGCGCATGGTGACCGGCGTGTTGCTGTTATTGAGAATCCCGAAGTGACAGCCATGTGGAGAGACTTCTGTGCCGTTTCTCATGATTTCCCCAATTCTCTAATTTTTCCCACTGACAGCTTTCTTACTCAGCTCCCTCAGAGCAATGGAGTCCTGCCCATGGAGTCATTTTACCTCAGTTTCCCCAGGCCGAATGGCTGTCGGGCTGCTCCGAGGGTGATGCATTTAGCTTTGCACACCTTCGTCTGTTGAGGGCGTGGGCAGGGCCCTCGGCCATCCACCGGCCTCCCCCTCCCAGCTCCTCTGCCCCTTCCCACTGCCCTGCTCGGCCGGGCAGAGAGACCCGGAAGCTGGGGGCGGACATCAGAACTGGAGCCACTCCAGTGTCTCAGCAGAGCGCAGGGATTTACGGGCAGGGGTTTCTTGGAGCGAAACCTCGATTCGCGTGGCTCCCAGGCAGGGCCAGTGGACGGTCGTGGGGGGCTCGGCCCGGGGTCCGCCTCTCACTGCGCCCCGCTCTCCCTGCAGATGGCTGAGGACACCCTCCAGGCGCTGGGTCCCCACTGCCCAGCGCCGTCCAGCCCCAGAAGGATCTTCCTGGATGCCAGCGTGAAGGACAGCTACTGCCCCCTGGTGCCGCACACCATGTACTGCCTGCCGCTGTGGCCGGGCATCAACTTGGTGCTTCTGACCAGGGTGCGGAGCCCTGCCCTGCCTGGCCAGGTTGGGGCCGGGCGGCTTCGGGGGCTCCGCTCACCCCGTCTCTGCCTCTGCCCTCAGAGCCCTGGCTCGCCCCTGGCCCTGGTGCTGTCTCAGCTGCTGGACGGGTTCTCCCTGCTGGAGAAGAAGCTGAAGGAGGGGCCGGAGGCCGGGGGAGCCCTGCGGGCCCAGCCCCTCGCGGGCGACCTGCGCCAGCGGATGGACAAGTTCGTCAGGGGCCGAGGCGGGCAGGAGATTCAGGTGAGACCTGGGCCCCGTCCCCTCTGAGCCAGCCACAGCGGAGGGGCCCGCACCGGGGAACTGCCCCTGCCCCAGCCTGGCCTTGCGGTCCTTGTGTTCCCGGTTAGGAAGTGAGAACAAAAACTGGGCAGCTGTGAGTTCTCAGAACCTTTCTGAGTGAGCTTGGCAGTTATAATTCCCACTTGTTGGATGAGGAAGCTGAGGCTTCGATATGTCATAACTTGGCCAAGATAACATGGCTCGTGAGTGCCGGAGCCTACGTGCAGTGACTTGGGGTTGGCCGGAACCTGCCCACCATGGGCATCCTCCCTGCGGTGTGGCCGGGGCCCCCGGGTGCCCAGGGCAACATGGGCGTGCAGGACACGGCTCCCCACAAGGCACTTAGGGCTCAGGTCCTGGGAGCTGAGGCCAAGAGGCGGGACAGCGTGTGAGCCCAGGGGACGGCCCACTGGTGGCTCCAGTAGCCCAGGGTGGGACCTGGTGTAAAAGCCATCCCGTCTGGGAGATTGAGGAGCCGGGATTTCTCGTGGCCAAAGTACATTTGGATCTGAAGGCCCAGAGGGACTGGAGGGGCAGAAGCCCCAGGCCAGTCTCCGTCCCGTGGAGGCAGAGGCAGAGCATTCCCAGGGCTGGGGCATCACGGCTGGACTCCAGGACCAAGCTCAGTTCCTCACGGAGAGCCCACGAGGCCGCCCAGGTCCCTTCAGCAGCCCCCCGCCGCTGACCCCAACCCTGCCCTTGTGTGTCCCTTTGTGGGGGTCAGCCCGGCCGTCCCCCAAGTCCTCACGTCCTGGCGAAGTGCAGCGTCGCCCATTGAGGAAGGAACCCCTGGAAACCGCCCTTTCCGTGGACGCTGCCAAGTGACCAGAACGTGGTGTGTGGCCGCGAGCAGGGCCCAGAGGGGCTGCCAGGGGAGCCAGCGGCACTGCGTGGGCGGGGCCTGACTAGATGGGCGGGCGTGTCTGGGGCCTGGGGTGTCAGGCCTGGCCTGGGCGGGCAGGTGTGTCTGGAGCCCGGGGTCTCTCGGGCCTGACTGGACGGGCAGGTATGACTGGAGTCCGGGGCTTCTCAGGTCTGACCTGGGCGGGTAGGTGTGTCTGGCGCCTGGGGTTTCTCGGGCCTGACTGCATGGACAGGTGTGACTAGAGCCCGGGGTTTCTCAGGCCTGACCTGATTGGGTAGGTATGCCTGGAGCCCAGAGTCTCTTGGGCCTGACCTGGGCGGGCAGGTGTATCTGGAGCCCGGGGTCTCTCGGGCCTGACTGGACGGGCAGGTGTGACTGGAGCCCGACCTCTCCGGCCTGACCTGGAAGGCTCTGCCCGACCTCCCAGCGGGAAGGTGGTCAGGAAGCCGCCCAGCCTCCCGTCTCCCCCGCAGAGTGCCTGGCTGGAGTTTAAGACCAAGGCCTTCTCCAGAAGCGAGCCCAGATCCTCCTGGGAGTAAGTGCTGGCCCTTGGGACGGGAGAGTTCTTGGATGGGGGGCTTTCCCCTGAGACCACGCTCCCCAGGCCACGAGGGAGCCTGCGTGCAGGAAGGAGCTGGCGTGGAAGGGTCACCCCGGGGGGTGGGCCTCCGGTCACGGGAGGCGGGGGAGTCGCAGCAGAGGCTGGAGGCTGAGGCAGGTGTGGGCCCGGCGTGGGGGCGGGGCCTGGGCCTCATGGGCTGCAGTAGCACTGCCAGAGGACCAGGGATGTCCCTGGAGCGTGTGTCTGTCCTGGCGTATCACGAGGGCCCCGCAGGACTCGGGGTCCCGGTTCTGCCCGTCCTGGCGCATCATGGGGCCCACACCGGCCAGGGCTCCCCGGGGCCCTCGGCCGTGACACCTGCCCTCGGCGCCCAGGCTGCTGCAGGCGTGCGCGAAGTTGAAGCGCCAGCTCTGCGCCATCTACCGCCAGAGCTTCCTGGCCACGGCCCCCGAGCGGGGGGGCCCGCACCTGCCCCGGCAGCTGCAGGACCAAGTTCAGACGCTCATGCAGTAAGTGCGGTGCCCGGGCGGCCGGGGCCGGTGCGTGGGGCCGCCCCTCTCGCTGCAGCCGTGTCCCCTCCCCCCCGGCAGGGAGAAGCTGATGGACTGGAAGGACTTCCTGCTGGTGAAGAGCAGGAGGAACGTCACCATGGTGTCATATCCTGGCTCTGAGCCCAAGACTCCCGGCCTTGGGTCAGCTTTCCTGTTCCCTGGAAGGCCTGTGGGCCCTGGGGAGTGACACGACACCTCACCTCAGCTGCTTTTCTCCGAAGCAGAGTGACAGAAGGTAGTGTTCGAGTGCCTTGTGTGTGGCAACACTCCCCGCTGACATTTCGGAAAGTCCAAATTCAATTTGTAGAAGCCGTGAAGACCCTTTACGTCAGCGTTGCTGCAGTGGGCATTCCACAGAGTGGCTTCAGGCAGGTTCCTGGGGTCTGATGGGTCGAGAGGGCTGTGTCGTCCTCCTTAGACCATTGCAGTGCACGGTGGCATGTCAAAGCTCTGAGAAGGTCTGCAGTAAATGTTTATTCCTGTGTACAGAGCCATTTCTAAGACTTTATTATGGAATGCGAGTCTTGATGAATACTGATTTTTCCTCGGGACTGTCTAGAAAGTAGCTTTTCCTGAATTAACATCTCTGGAGTGTCCGGCCTCCAGACCCTGAGACTCGGGTCTTCATGGGCAGGTAAAGGGGATGCCGTGGACCCCTTTAGCCCTCCACTGCCACCCGCCGTGGGCATCTGTCCCCTCTAATGGGAGCCCTCCAGCCTCTCGCCATGAAGCGTAGAGTTTACTCACATCACGGTGAGGCACGTGGCTGGGCTCACTCTAGCCCCAGGGGTGTCTGACCTCAACCTATCCCTCCCGAAAATGGGAACCGTGGACGTACCTGTTTCCTGGGCCCAGAGCTGCCCGTGTGCCTTGTGCAAGTGGAGACCTCAGGCTTCTCGAGACTGGGAACCCGGCAGAGTGGGGGCCTGGAAGCGGGAGTCTGGGAAGGGCTGGGGCTGGGAGCCCATAGGGGAGCGGGGAGCGCCCGGCCCAGCTTGGTCTGACCTTGACTCAGCACTGCACCTACCTGGAAGACTTCCCGGGCCTGGTGCACTTCATCTATGTGGACCGCACGACCGGGCAGATGGTGGCGCCGTCCCTCAGCAGCAGCGAGAAGACCACCTCAGAGCTGGGCAGGGGGCCCCTGGCCGCCTTCATCAAAGCCAAGGTGGGTGGCCTTCCGGCGGCACCACCTCGGCCCACGGGTGTGTGTGCGAGGGCTGAGCCCGCCCAGGGAGGACAAGGCCGAGCCCCTCTGTCCCTGGGCTGTGGTGAGCAGCCGCCCCTCCCGTCCCCTCCTGTCTGTGGAGCTCCTCGGCTGAGAGCCTTTCTTCGTTGGGGAGGAAGACGGGCGTGCGGGGGTGCTGAACCCCTGTCCCCCCCAGGTCTGGTCTCTGATCCAGCAGGCCCGTCGATATCTGCAGAAGGGCTACACCACGCTGCTGTTCCAGGAGGGCGACTTCCGCTGCTCCTACTTCCTGTGGTTTGAGAACGACACGGTGGGTGGCCAGCTGCCTCCGGGTCCCCTCTCCTGAGCTGGCTGTCGTCTCTCCGTCTGTCCCTGTCCCTGGAGCCCAGCAGGCTGGGACCCAGAGCCCCGAGGTCGTGTTTTCTGTGGGTATTTAACTGCCTGCCACTCTGCGCCAGCTGGGTGCCAAACCCACGTGGGTGTTCACGGCACCCTGGCACGCACGCGGGCAGAGGGACTCGACGCACCCCGGCCAGGAGCACCTCAGCGTCCGGGTTGCACACCAGGTTGGCCACTGCCATCCTTGCACGTGACTGTGAGTCCAGGTCCAAAGTCCTGAGCCCACCCTGGAGAAGCCGGCAGCCCGGTCTGTGCTGCTTTTTCTAGAGCTCTCTGCTCCTGCAGGGCTGCTCGCCAGGCGCTGTGCCTGCTGCCTGAGGCTGAGCCTCCTCCTCCTCCCCGTCTTCCTTCCGCTGTCTCTCCCCTGCCCTTCGCTTTCCTGTGTGTCTTTTCTGCCTGTCCTTAGTCAGGGTCCCAGCTCCCAGGAGTGCCCCCGGCCCCCACAGCGTCTTTCTGCCGTGCAGGAGGCCACTGGGGCCGTTTCTTCCCATCTCTCACCGAAGGAGGGGCTGGGTCATCGAGCCCATTCCACAGACGCTGTGGGGATGAGACACCCAGCCAGGGCCACCGAGGCCCTAAGTGACAAGGCCGGAGCCCGCACGGACCTCCTGGTCCACAGACCCCCCCGCCTGTGCCTGGGAAGTGTCCAGGATGTGTGGGTGGCAGGAGTGATGGAACGTTCCCCTGGCCTTTACCTCGGCTTCCGGGAGACACAAGGGTCCGTGCGCTTGTCCCACGAGGGACAGCACAAGGCAGAGCTGCGGGGACGAGCCTGAACGCTGGCCGCACCACCCAGTCTGTGCCGTGGGGACGGCTCCGGAGTCCACCCCATGCAGGACAGGCCCCCAGTGCCCACGCGAGCATCGAGGGCTCTTATGGGTGCCACGACGTGCCTGGCACCACACAGGCTCGCAGCTCCCAGTTCCCTTCCCCCTTCGTCCTTCCCGCGAGCTCCTGAGACGTGGGCCCTGTGATGGGCTCGGCCGTCAAGGTCCTGCCAATGCCCCCTTGGCGTCCTGGCCCCTTCCTGAACTTGCTCCCGGCCAGCCCGCGTGCCGATGGCCGTGGGCGCTTCTTGCCACGTGCTGGGTGCCGCATTCAGAACTTTGATCCCACTGGCTACCGTCCACAAGGGGACGCTTGTCGTTCCCTTCAGGATACTAAAGCCAGGTCCCCGCCTTCTCGGGAGTGCGGGGCAGGGCCAGATCTCAAGCCCCGTGGGTCCAACTCAGGCCCGGGCCCTTTCCCCCGCACCCACCACCTCTCTGTCGCTCCTCAGGGGTACAAGCTCCAGATGGTCGAGGTGCCCATCCTTTCAGACGACTCGGTGCCCATCGGCATGCTGGGAGGAGACTACTACAGGTGACGCTGCCTGGGGGCTGCCGGGCCGGGCACGCAGCGGGGGGGTGACGGGTGCCCCCAGGCCACTCCTCCTCAAGGAAGCCCCACCCAGGAGCCCAGAGCTCATCCCTGCTGCCCGACACCTCTGCGTTGCCACCACCTTCCAGCCGGCAGGGTTGTGGCCGCGGGGGAGACGTCTGGGCCCGGAATGCCCTGCTGGCATCCTGTAGTTCAGGCACTGCCGTCAGGTCAGCGAGGGTGGGAATGGGCACCCGGCCCAGGGACGGGCCCCGGCAGGCGACCCAGGGTCGGGATGGGCATCGGCCCACGGAGGCCAGGTTGGTGCCCTGGGCACCCCTGAGCCGCGCCCCTCGCTGCCTCCAGGAAGCTCCTGCGCTACTCCAGCAAGGGCCACCCAGCTGAGGCCGTCCGCTGCTTCGAGCTGCTGGCCGTGCACCTGTCGGTCACGCCCACGGACCTGCTGCTGCAGCAGGCCGGCCAGCTAGCCCGGCGTCTCTGGGAGGCCTCCCGCCTCCCCCTGCTCTAGGGGCCACGTCACCCAGCGCCCCTCTCCAGCCCTGGCTGCCAGTCTTGCCCACGCAAGAGCCCCGTCCCACGCAGCGGTGCCCCGGGTGTCCTAGCCTCCCCCGGCTCCCCTCCACCTGGGGCACGAGCAAGCCCGAATCCGCCCCCGAGGAAGAGGGAGGCCAAGGGGTCCTGCTTGTCTCCTGAGAACAGCAAGGAGGGGTGCTGGGGCTTCCTCTGCCAGAGCCGCCCTTTATTCCAGAGACAGGGCAGCCCCGCGGGACTGTCCGAGGGCCCCCTCTCCGCTGCCCCCCGGTGCTGCCCCCCACATCAAGGCCTCCTGTGCCTGGGATGGAGCTCCAGCCCTGCCTGTCCAATGCCACTCCCTCTCTGGCCCTGGGCACGTTCTCATCCTCAGCCTATTCCCCAGTTTGAAGTGACAGCCACCCCCCCTCGGGGCATGGTAGGCGATCAATAAATGTCCTTGTTATCACTCAGCTGTCGTGCTTCTGGGTCTTCTGCTGACAGGATAAGCCCTTGCTGAGTCGTGGCACCTGCCCATAGGCAGGCGGCTGCCGCAGGCCTCAACCCAGATCTGGACTCACATGGCGGGCGTGCAGTCCGGGCTTTGATGTCTGCAAAAGCTTCCCAGGCATCTGGTGTGCCCCAGATTGAGAGCCACTGCCAAGGGTACTGCTTCCCCTTCTAACCAGGATAGGACAAGAGCCCCTTGGAGCACTGGGCCTGGGTGTGCCCACTCCCCTTGGGCCAAGGTGCCAGTGCTGGACAGGAAAGGAGGCCGGGAGGCCCGGGGCCAGGTGTGCCGAGCACACAGGGAGCAGCCCTGGGGGAACAGATGCTGAGGGGACTGGACCCATGTCTGGGGCCGAAGCCCTTGGAAGGAGGCCGTGGAGACCGCTGTCCCTGAGATGCCCGTGCCTGTGTTCCTCCTTGGTGTCACAGTTTTGTGGCTGGAAATGAGAAGGTCGTTGCGGAAGATACAGAAGCACGGAGGAAGACAATGGAGCCAGAAGCCCTCCACTGCTTCTGTCACTTAATTTTTGGCAGCTGTGACTGCGACGTGTCTACTGTAACCAAGCCCCTGATTCTTCTAAGTGACACGGGTGAGCACCCGGGGTCGGACATAGCAGAGACTCACACATGCACAACAACTGGCTGTGGCACATGGAGGGTCCTTGGAGGACCCCTCAGGTCTGCCCCACGAACCCCCCCCAGGTCTGAAGCTCGTGGCTGGAAGCAGATGTCTGTAGCGCTGGCGTGGCAGCTGCACAGAAACTCTCCCCCGCTCGAGGACGCGTTTTCCTGCAGGGACCGTCTGCTGGGGACGGGGCAAAGGCCAAAGGGCTCCTGGCTCCACCTGGGCCAGAGGGCGAGGAGGAACTCTTGGCCGAAACTCTTGGCAGATGTGATCTCCGGTCCCTGAGGGTCCTGGGAACATGGGCGAGGGGCAAAGGCCGAAGAGGAACGCCCCGGCCTTCAGAACCAGGGGTTAGAACCCAGGAGTTGGACGGCGCCCTCGCCCCCAGCCCTGGCGAGGCGGCAGCGGCCTGGTAAGCCGGTGTGTCTGAGCACTCAGGGAGAACCCCCAGTGCCAGGGGGCAGCTTCCCAGCAGTTTTGCTGAAGGCCCTGGTCGGACTCACTCCCCAAGGCGTCGGGAGGGACTCAGAGTCGGGCAGAGGGACATGTCAGGACCCCTCCCAGACATTTTGTTCCTGGGCTCTTGCACAGGGAAGAGGTGTCTTCGGAACCCTGCTGGGCTCACATCCCACTCCGCCCTCCCCAGCCTCTCCGCCCCCGGCTGGGCCCCGCACCAGCCTGCCTGGCACGCAGAGCCCGGGAATTATGCGTTTGCTCTTGACTGTGACCCTCTTGAGTCCTGGAGGTGGCGCCGGCTCCACCTCTCCCGGGACTGGCCCAGGCACCCACCTGGCCCGGGCCCAGCGGGGCCGTGGCTCCTCCCCTCTCCCCGCCCCTCCCTGCTCCTCCCCTCCCGCTCACCCTCTGTTGCTGACCGCTAGCAAATTCCTCACCTAGCCCAGCCTGGAGCAGAAATGGCTGCAGGGGGCCGCGGTCTCTGCAGGGCCACGGGCGCCCCTCTCTGCCCCTCTTGGAGACGAGCTCACGGGGAGGCCCGGGGAGGCCTGAAGCCTGCCTATGACGCGGTGGTGATAGGCGCAGGTAAACACGGGCCAGCCAGGGTGAGGGCAGGGAGGCGGGGGAGCCCCTTCCCCAAGACCCATCACGCCCTCTCTCTGGACCCAACCTGGCCAGGAGTCTGAGCACCAGCAGGGCTGTGGAGGAAACCCCCCAGCCTGGCAAGCAGGCAGGTGCCCGGGCTCTGGTGCTGGCTCTGCTGTCAACTCACTGTGTGTTCTGGTGCAGATGCTTGCCCTCTCTGGGCTGGGGTCTTCCCATCTAGAAGGACAGAGAAGAACTAGGTGAGCTCAGGGCTCTCTCTGTGTCTCCTGCATAATGACCTCGTTTCTGCCAGTTTCTCAGAAAGCCTGTGCTACGTGAGGCTTGGAAAGAAAGAGCCCTGGGCAGCAGGGTGACCCGGCCACCCCACGCGCCCTGAGTTCTGGTCACCCCGCCTCACCGCTGAGGTCACCCATCCCCAAAGAAATTGGAGTTTTTTCGCCAAGAGCAGCTAGACAAAAGGAGAACTGAGTCCCAGCAGTCCTGCTGTGACAGAGGGTGACGGCCCTCACTGCCTTGTGGCACTGGGGCGTTTGGGCCACTTCTGCAGTGACCCTGGCACACCTCGCAGACCCTGGGCTCAGAGCACCAGTCTCCTGGCAGCTGGTGAGGCAGCGGGCCAGGACTGCGTGGCCTCCCCTGGGGCCTTCCATGCACACAAGGGGCCCAGGTGTGTCAGTGCCAGCTGGGGCTATGGAGACACCAACGGGACAGAAGGCAGACGCACCATCACCCAGTCCCACAGGGGCGTCCTGTGTGGGTCTTTCGCCATGTGCGTGTGGACAGAGAGCAGGTGAGCTGGCAGGTGCACGCCACCTCTCCCGGGGAGTGTGGGATGCGTTTATGGTGAATACTGAGATAAAAGACGTGGGCCACACAGTCCCACAGGCCAAGTGTGCCCTCCTCTATGTGCCCGGGAGCCAGTGGGTTCTCACCAGATGCTTTGATGTTTGCCAGATTCAGTAGCCAGTCTGCAGCTGCAGTTGACGAGAGTGGGTCATTCTGGATGGCATGGGGTTGACACGCCTCCTTCCTTTAAAGAGGAGGACAAGGCCAGGCTTGGTGGCTCAGCCTGTCATCCGGCACTTTGGGAGGCCGAGGCAAGTGGATTGCCTGAACCCGCGGGTTCAAGACCCGCCTGGGCAACTTGGCAAGACCTCATCTC